TTATTTATAAAGAACACTCTAGAAATACTGGAAAATTCTAGAGTAAAAAATGAACATGCTACGACTCAAAAAACAAGCAGCACTTGTAGTACCATTACTTTCGCCGGTGACTGTACCAGAAAATATTTACTAACCTCTGACAGTTGCATTTCAGAATTCGATATCGTCATTAGACCGAAACAGAAGGCGTACAAATGGGCGGTGAATGCCGAGCAAGCATCTCTCGGTGGCCTCAAAGATTATATACGTAAAATGTATAAACAATCCGCACTTGAAAATGATGGGGCAGAACTCAACTTCATGAATGATGGAAACAAATATTCGCCTCGGAACGATCAAGAACTCTGTGAAATTCTATGCAGATTCGTGTTGAAGGGTATCTCCAGATTTACTGTATGCCGAATCCCGACATTGATGTGTACCATCGTTTTCATTGTGGTTCTGCTGACCTAGATAACGGAAAGTCTAAAGCCGTGCTTAAGCATCTAATGGCTGAATTGGACCTTCGTAAAAAGACAACCCCATTGATATTGGTATATTAGGCGACGAAATCTATCTATTCGTACTGTTACTTAGCCAGTGGTGTATCATTGTTCAAGAATAATTTTAAAATCGTATCGGAAAAACTTGTCAAGGGACATAACGATCAGGGAAACCTAGATTTGGCGATAGAGTGTCGTTCAACCAGAAGGATAGCTGGGCTTGTCGAGGTCAAAAGAGATGACTTTAAACAGGGCTTTGCACAAGCTACCGTGCAGATGGAATCATCCTTAACATGTCGTAAGCGCAAAGCCAACGAAATCGAAGAATATGATATGGATAAAGTATGGGGGATTGTAACCGATGCAGAAAAATGGTACTTTATAGAGTGCACGCTTGATGATGAGAGAAAGCCATCGTTCAAGCTGTCAGAACCAGTGATTGTTGAGTATAATGATGAGAATATGCAAATCAAGGTGGAAAGGGTTCTCGGTCATATTGTTTGGTTGTTGGATGAGGCACAGAAACCGGGGGAAATTACTGGAAGCGGAGAGAGGGAAATAAAAAGGGTAAGGTCAGGCGATCTCTCAAAAACAAATTAGAAATAGGAATATTAAATAGGCGGTATATGTCCGTAGTCATAGTATAGAAGCTTCGTCATGTATCACGGGAAAAGTCCCGATCTTGTATTTATTTTTGCATGTATTAATAAAAATTTGTTTCTTGGCAAAAGTGATCGGCGTGAACAATTGTTCACGCGCACGTGATTTTTGATCGTGAAGATTCTTCACGGTTACACCTATGCACCTATGATACATGAAAGATAATGCATGTTCTGTTTATTTCTGAAAGTGCGAGAATCTCGTAGTTAGCAGTATTGGTAGCTGTAGAAATTTACCATAAATGCAGGAGCAAAGAAATAATAATGACGCAGAGACTTCATTATAAGGCATTATGTTTTAACTTTGATATGTATGCATCGAAAAAAATAAAACTGTATTTATGCTAAATTACAAATTCATGCAATATTATCACTTTATTAAATGAAAATTTTTATAAGCATAAATAGTAAAGAATTATTGAATATTCTACAATGTGAAAAATTAATCTAATTCTCTTGATATTTCCGGTTAATTAATGCAATACAAATAAAAAATTCCTTTGCGTTTATCAATAATCATTTTCACTTGGACCACTCACTAAACCACGATGAGCAAATGTTGGAGAAAGGTAATTCTCGATATTTTCTGGATAAATGAGTAGCAGTTGAGGCATTTCTTCTATGTCAATAGTTCCCGTACAGGTCCGGTTTGTAAACAAGACAAGGATTACGTCGTACTCGTTTTCGTAACTTTTTATTGATGCCATTGTTGTATCATACCATCGTTTAATCGCTGGCGTGGAAATAGTAGTAGTTGCATCGCGTTCTGAATATTTAATTTGTGAAAAAATTGCTAATTTCTTTCCCTCATCAGCGGAATCAAGAACCCAGCGGTGATCGATGTTAGCACATCCTTGATAACAGCGGAAAATGCCTTTGTCAAATTCGCGTGTCACATTATCATCACATGATACAAATTTAGTAAATTTGGCAATGTCACTTGTCTTTACAAGAAACTTCTCATTCTCAGTATAGACTTTAAGTTTGTGCAATCGTACTCTACGTTGAAGAAGTGTATCAGCGCCTTTTGCACCACGAAATATGTCAGATAGTTGCCAGTTCATATTCGTTTCATTGGTAAGATTTATATCTTGCATCTCGATTTCATCTTTGATTTGCAATTTTGTGTTAGCATCAACTTCTTCTTGTAAGTCTAATTGGAGTAGCTGAATTTTATGATTAATGGATAACAATTTTGACTCCTTAACGTTGATTAAACTATCGATAAGAGCTTTTTGATAATGTCCGTATAGAAGTTCAAATTTTTGCCACTCCCAAGGGGAATCATGTGTCGGAATTAAGAGAAGGTGATCTGGAAACACAGTTTCTACTTTAGAAACCAGAAGCGAGTTATTAAGCATCTTTAATAGCATGAAGGGCATAACAATAGTATACCAATCATATTCAGAGTTGGATAGATAGACCAAACCAGCTCGTTCAAGCTCACCAATGGAAGTACGGCTATTTAGTAGAAAATCTCGCTTAATAGGCTGTCTAGTAAGCCCAAATGAGATTATGGTACGTATATCATCCAAACTCTTCCAACTACCCGAACCCTTATTAATTTTAACAATGTTCCGATTAGACATTGTAGTGAAAAGTTGATTCCCCCAATCAAAATCTGACATGAGGATAGGAGGGCTTAAGAGATCATCAATGAACTTCGGAATGAAACCAGTGTCAAACATAGCAATATAGAAGTGTTGTTGATTCAGGACAGAGTTACAAAAATCCGCCGAAAGATTTTCGATATCTTCATTATTAATATCAGAAGAGTGATGTAATTTGAGGCCTTGTATCACTAGATCTCTTCTTTCATCGGTTGTTTGCATTGAATATTCATACTTGTCAAGAAACATTGATTTTGCTGATTCATAATTCAACGGCTTGAGATCCACCAACTCATTAGGATACTCCGTAGGTAAAAAATGAACGTCAATGGCAGACGTTCCTGTGCAGATTGGAATAATAAAATATTTTCCATAATATTCCTCTTTAATTTCATCATAATACTGTCCACGCATGACACTACCGATCTCTTTTAACATTAATTTAAAGAATTCGCGAGCCATCATCCGTGATCGTTGTTGGTACTTTACAATATCATTGATGTATAATTGATACTCATCGAGATGGATAATGATGGCAAGTGGACACTGGTCTTTTTGGTCTTTTTTAATGAGACGTTTAAGGATCTCATAAATCACATCAGAAAGGCTGAAAAGCCTAATGTCATCAGTTACTTCGCTCATCAGAGCAGATAGACGACTATGATGTACCAAACCTGATGACAATGCAATACGCGCCCCTATTCGCACACTTGCATCTTGCTTGTCATCAAAGCCTTCAAGATACTGGCATCCATTATTCAGGTCAACAAAGATGTAACAGGGACTTTTCAGAGCTTCCACAAATTTATTGTCATAGGTGTCGGTATTTTCTAGTGTTAGAGCAGAGGATAAATGATTTGATTCCCAGCCCATTCGTGTCTTGCCTATTCCTATTCCTCCGGGAATTAGGATAAATTTATGAGGTTTGTGGTCAGAATTTTTGCGACCCTCGTAATTAGAACAAGCAACTTCTAACATCAAATGTAGAGCTTGATCACGATCGTAAAACTTGTGGTTATGAATATTTGTAGCATGAGATTGTAGTGTTGGTGAAGTAAGGAGGGAAGCCAAGGTTTTCACTAAAAATGGAAAAGTGAATTTTAAAATAAGAACACGATTACTAATCAACATCATAACAGAATATATTACGTACGTGTTTGTTTCCCCTTTTTTCGGGTTCTGCTTTCTTCATCTGAGTCCGAGTATTCGTGTCTTCTTTTCCCTAACCAAATAAAAAAATGAGATAACGCGAATTTCTTGTTCGAGAGGTAAACCATTGGGAGACACTTACCAGTGGCTGTGGTTGCGACGACAGCAACGATGTGGATTTTCTTTCTCGTGGGTTTATAATCCTCTTGAAAATAATCTATAAAGTCGTATTCAAATTCCATAGACACGCCTCCAAGTTCTTTAATGTCATCGTCAGTAGAACCAGGATTAAGCTTACTCTTATCAACGTCAACTTTCCAAAGCTTCGAAACTTCAAACTTTTCTTGTACAGAGATAAATTTCGCGAGTTGCCCAACTCTTAAGTTCTTAAATAGAATTTTTTTATTATCAAGTTCGAAGAATTTCTGCTTGTCCTTGTCTTCATAAATTTCAACCTGGAAAACGTGTTTATTATCTAGACGTAAACAATTGTAAGAGTCAACCATTTCGATCATGTGTCTGTAATGATAAAATATTTTAGAGAAAGAGATCTAGAAAAAGAGGTTTGAGAAAACTAGAGGGTATATATAATTACTTTTCTGAATACATCGTGACTAATAGTAAATAGACTCTTGATAAACTCTGATTTACTAGCTTGTGCTACGAAAAAATGAATAAGCATAGCAAAAAAGTAAATTTACAGTACGCGGAGAAAAAATGATTAATACGGTTTTATCATTACTCATTAGATTTTGATTCTCCGACGAATTCTCAGGGTATTTATTAAAAAAAGGTGAATTAATGTTACGTAATTTTTCAGTCGTACGATTGACCGAATTTGACTTGTGGCTTTTGTGTGCAACACATCGGAAAAAAATAAAGCGTAGTAACTCTGTACGATGTGAGATTTCTCACGTTTGCCTAACTCGTTTAGATTTGTCACAATTTGTCCGAGACATTACGCAATTAATACATGAATGCATTTATAAGGAAGCGACTCAGAGCTCGCAAAGCTAATATCTATTTTTTTGTTCTGAAATTTCGAGGACCTTATTAGGCGGAGAACATAAACTTTCGGTGAGGTCAATGCTGTTTAACTTATTTCTGACCCCGCATGTTATATGCATAACTGACGACCATTTTATTCTATCCAGAATATCGATGTTGGGAAAAACGAAATCGGAAGAGTTAATGGTGTTAGTATAGATAACAAAACACTGGTTTGGTTTGTAGGCATTAGTATAGAAACATTTTACTTTGTAAAACAAAATTACATGTATCACGGGCTACGTCCCGAACGTTATATTTATTTTTGCGTCTATTAATAAACCATTTTTTCTCAGAAAAAGTGATCTGCGTTCCAAATTGGAACGGACACAATGACTTTTTTATTTTGAATACTTGTATAAAAAGTGTTATCAAAAATGGAATCTGAGATTGACTTACTTAGGCAAGAAAATGCTAGACTTGTGGCTAAGAATTATGAGCTTGAGACAGAGATCACGAAGTTGAGGCAGATTATTGAGGAGAATGTCAGACGTGACGCTAGAGTAGAGGAACTAGAGCAAAAAAATAAAGAGCTTGAGGCTAGACTCGTGATATTGGAACAGGGTTCCTCGGTGACTCTACAGAATGATAAGGAAACGATTGCAGAGAGGTTTGCAAAGCAAACCGTGTCAGATGTTGATTTATCCAGCTCTGTGATAGATCAGTGAAATAATGATGATGCCAAGACATCAGAGGAAAAGGAGATGGATGCTTTCTTGGTTGAGGTAAATAAGAAAAGCATTAGTGATAAAATTAGAGAGAGCAGGCGAGAAAAGAAGGTTCAGGATAAGATGATTGCCAAAGACTCATCCTCCGTTACTTCAGATTTGACTCACTGTGAGGAGGACCTCTCCATGACTAGTGCTGAACTTGTAACTCTCCCAGAACAGGTAGTCAAAGAATCGATTCCAGCCTGTAAGTCAGCTACCTCTGGTAACAAATCATCTGCTGGGACATTGCCAGTAAAATCGTTTATGGTGGACAAACAGGCTCTGGCTTCTGAGAACACAGAGACAGAGTGTCAAAAAATTCCTTATAATCAGAAAGTGGAGCAAGATTTGAGACGGGAGCTATCCTCCACTAAAGTTAGTGATGGTAAGATTAATAAAGCGTTTGATATTCAGATTCCTGAACTCTCTTTAGAAGCAATTCTTATGGGATCTAGTGAAGTTACAGCACAGAATATAGTTGATCTATTTAGAGTAGCAATGAAGCTTAGACGTAAGGAGATTTTATGCTGGTATTGTTACTATAAAGCATATGAGGATCGAGTCAGGGTTGTTAAGTCTAAGAATGGTGTTGATGACAAATCAGCAAGAACATTGGTGTATAGCGAAATCAAACCCCTTCTTTCTGATATTACCGACGTAAACTTGCGTAAAATAACTTTCAGAGCTAAAAAATCTATATATTGTTTGATGGGATAGGAATAAATAAAATCCAAATAATTAGCTGTAGCGCAAGTGCTATCTCAAATTTATCTGATAATCAGATCCAGGACATTATAAATGACTTCCCTAAAAAAGCTACTAATATGAATGATATAGGTTGTGAAGATTCCGTTCCAAATTGGAACGGACACGTAATGTTAAAAATTAATAAGGCGGATGCATTGGAGCAAGCGAATCCTTTTGAAGTAAGTATATCGGCAAATGTATTATTTGCATCTCAATCTAATCCAACTTATGACTGAGCCTATTTCCGCAACAAAACATTGGATCAATATCCTACTTTATATAGGAAATTTAGTAGTGAAAATTTTGATTACTATGGAATTACTGACGAGACATTATGCCCATTATGCAAGTTAGATCATGATGATGATGAAGGTATAGAAGGTAAATATAAAGCTGGATCTTATTTTATTAAATGTGAACAGCATGAAATTGAGATAACTGTATAGTCTGGTCACTTTGTGATTCTATATTTGCTCACGCTTCATTGTGAATTTTTTTACAGGGTTAATCTATGTCGACTACCTACTGTAATTTAAATTAATTTGCATTCATATAAAAAGAAACATGATCAAGTCTGATAAATTATTAACTTCTGAATATTTGGATTGGCATGCCAAATTAAATGGGTTACCAAGTGTTTTGACGGATAAGATCTGTTCCAGCTTATACAAAAAATATAAAAGAGAAATGGAACTTGAGCCATGGCAATTATCAGAAGGTCACCTTCTCATAAATTCGAAGCCACAAAACAAAGTATCCGATTTATCTTTTTCTAAGCAATGTGAAGAAAAAGGGTCCATCACTTTTGAAGCTAGACCTGATCTAGAATTAATTATCAAATCCGTCTTAGAGCACTTCCCATACTTGAAATTCTGAAATAGTTTCAGAGGGATTGATAATTATAATTTTGCATCACTTTAGCCGTAGAGCTCACCATGCCCTATTTGTAATGGAAAACATGGGAATTATAGATTACATGACTCATAGTACTACGAAAATGGGAATCAGTTCCCTTATGATCCTGAGTTAGCAAAATTGTATTTCCAAGATAAGTTGGAATATTGTCTTACCTGCAACACTTCAAGCAATAAACTCAAGTTCGCGATTGTGACTTAGACCGGAAGAATTATGAAGAAAAAATATTCGTATATTATTTTGTTTCTTTTTTTCGAATCTCGTGGGTGGCTTATACAAAAGAAACTGAAAAAATTCTTGCTGAGATTTTCTGAGTACGTCATTGAAATTAAAGTTTATCATATGATTAACTGATAGATCCTGCTTCTATTAGTTAGAAGTGTGAAGAGTCTTCACGATTATCATATGACATAGCATGTATCGTAGATACGTCTCCTTTGCCTCAAGCTAGAATAGAGAAATATCGTTCAAAAAAATAATCGTGTATAATAGTATACAATCATAGAATGGCATCATATATCCAGGGCTAGTCCCGCACCATATAATTTATCTTAGCTCAATGTATGCAAATAAAAAACGTTTAGGGCACTAACAGAAATCTGGATTGGCAAATTAAAATTGCCAGCAAAGGTCCAAGGACTTTATTCTCAAACTTTCTCGCATATTCTCAAAATTATTACGTATATTATTGTAAAAGGACCCCTTGATGATCTTTACATATGGGTAGCGTTAAATTCTTTTATTGTTAAATTAAGAAGAGTCCGTTGATCAGATTTTTATGATGCGATCATATTAATGTAATTTTCCTAAAAGCGTATAATAAAATCAATCCTAGGAATTATATAAAAAGGTGATGACCTGGTTAGTGAATCCTTTTATCCGCCTTGTGCAAGTAAAACAAAAAAATTCAAACCAATAAAGCTTACCATTATTAAAATCATTGATATTAACAATCAAAATGAACTCGCATATTTTGCAAAGTAATAATAAAGTAAGTTAGTTTATTATTCAGCTAGTTTCTCTAAACATGTCATCACGATGTTAATCGATTTTCCTGCCTCTATAGATGTTTCAAAACAAAACGGACATATTGCTCTTCTTGTTATATATCAGCATTTAATCTTTACTGAGAAAATCACAAATCATCATCACGCGTACAATGGACGTAGTGAAATTACTCACATGAATCTCATCATATGCAACTTCACAGCAAAGGTCTGGCGCAGTATATCAGCATCTTTACTTGCCAAATTTTGCGCAGTATCGTACATGCAATAAAAAAATCAAAATACCTTTATTATAATGCATGAAGCAATAAATTTCAGGCGGAATAGAATGTTGCGAAAATTAATAATAATAGTAAGTGTATATTACATTGCCTTATTTTTTATCTCAATTGCTAATCCCTGATTTATGCTGTAGGTTTGAAATTACCTAATCTTAGAGAAGTTTTCTTACAGGGAATATTATTTTATATTGTCTGTATGGGTGGGGTGATATAGATATGCGAAAATTTGTATGGGATAATTTATTTCGAAAATCTAGTGTAAAAAAAGAGTATTAGTGTAAAAATCTCGTAGTTAACAATAGTATAGAAATTTATAATAGAACAAAGAAATAATTTGATGCTGGGACTCGCATTAAATGGTCTAGGATCCACGTACTCTCTCCTTCTTTGATAGCATCATTTATTTTAATCATTACATTCCTCTGGTCTTTCGATCTATTATTTTATTCATTTTTTTGCTTAACGGATCGGTCATATTACATAATGATAAATAAAGATTTTACTTTTAATTTTTAAACATATGTGTGCTTTAACAAGCTATGAAAATATAAAATTTACTAAACTATTCGCTATTTTATGGGTGTCAGCGAACTCCATAGTTGATTTCTTTTTACATGATGAGAAGGTTCTCTCTGTTTTATAAAACAATATCGAGTGATGTGTTAGATCAAATTAATTAATCAATGTAATGATTTAATCGAATAATAACAGTGGCTTAGCTATCATGTCAATAGATCAAGAGCAGTGAAATCTGATTGGTCGATCATCTCGTGATTTATAGAAACTTACCAGTTTCTGAAACCTTTCTAGAACTATCGAAGAACTGGCAGGGAACTAGGAAGATCACATGTGATACAAATTATAACTGTGCATAGTTTAACCGATCAGGTCGAATCAAAAAAAATAAAAATGAATGTGATATTTTATTATAATATACTTGCTATAAATTGTTAAAAATGCTATAAATCACTAAACAGTTAAGATCAGTTATAAACTATAAAAATGGTTAAAACTAACTATTCTGGTTTAAATCCTGTAGTAGTACAAGCAATAACTAATTTGCATTACAGATATAATGATGAAACGCTAAAAATGTGGTGTTCTCGTATTCGTGCTCCATTCAGGAAACTTATCGAATATAACCCAAAATTCTTCTCAAAGAATGAATACATTCATATGACTAAAAGAGAATATAAAGATGGGAAATTCAGACCTGAGAGACGCACATTTTATATTTATTGCACTGCATATGATTCCTTAGTATTTATCTATGATAATACTGAGAAATGCATAGAAAAGTATCTGAATGAATGCATTGCTAAAATAGAGAAAAGACGTGTCGCATATTATAGATCTATATTATGGAAACGAAAAAGTAATAAAGTACTTAGTGATGATGAGATTGATGTAATTTATGGTAATATTTATTTTAGATACAGAAAAAGCTCTGAATTTTATTATTATTGTGCTTCAAAAGAAATTAAGAAAAGTGTTGCATATCGATTAATTAATAGTGCAAAAATTATCTAACGGGCTTGAAGAGCTTTCAAGTTGGAACCCGAAACATAGGCGAAGCGAGTTTGGAATATAGTGAGAAATGATAATACTCCTAACGAGAAGAAGTATTTAGGTATAACTTCTCGTGGTATAAGAATTCCTGATGATCGATATGTAAACTATTTTGGTTAAAGAATTCTAGCCAGAGATGTACCTGCACATCATCAGAATGAACCTAGATTGCGTGATTTGTATTATCATTATATTCCACATGATTGGGCAGAAAATAAGAAATACCAGTTATATATTCAACTAACTACTGTAGCATATATAGTTACTTTTATAAAATCGTATTAGCAAGATTATAGATTCGTTGGTTATGATAATTGGACTATTATACTAAAATATCTAGCAAATCCTGGGAATTACCGTACTACTAAAGACTATTATAACAATATTGTTACAAACTTTGTTAAAAGTTCAGAATACGCGCGATATAAATGTAAAAAGAAAGGCAAACTATATCCATGTAATTCGCTAGAAATTGATATGTTCAAATCTTCCTATATTACTACTTTCGACAAAGGGTCAACTATTATAGATTTCTCAGATTTTAACAATAACTGTGAGTATGTGCAACGAATTTTTTGAAGTATAGATTCTTTATTAAAATAGTATATTTCATATTCATGTATATTTATCAATAAATCAATCAATTTATTTTTTACTTTACTCATGTAATGCTCTGTATGCATGATTGCCTAGTGAAATTGTGACCTGTAGACGTTATGCATGATCTACTTATTCTAGGTTAGATTCTCTAATCTATAACTATTTTAATAAAGTATTTTTCAAGAAGTTCAAGAAGATCAATGAAGCGATCTTGGGGATTCTTGATTGCGAGACAATATAACTATCAGTTTGAGAATTTCTATGCAACAGTTATCCAGTAAGCTTATAGGAATTATAAGAAAAAACCTAAATCTTTGGCAAAACAGATTTAGGAGGCGGTGAGGAATGATAGTACTCCTGATGATAAGAAGTATTTAGGTATAACTTCTTGCATTCCTTATATTGACTGGGAATTTGAGAAGAAAAATCAATTATATGTGAGATTAGCTAATGTAACATATGATATTATT